TCTTACGATCTTGCCATTTCTTCAGAGCTGCGAAGCTCACCAACTCGTATTTATGAGATCATCGCAAATTCGACAAATGGAAGTCTTAACAATTTTTAAAGTGGAGACGAGTATTACTTCGTCCGATCCCACAGAATTAGTATTGATATAGGGAGAACATTTGAAATCGCTGCTTAACCATTATATGATCGTCAAACAATGTTCACTGCATGTCACTATATCTGAAAAATGTAGATGCTGTTCTTAGGCCATCGACTGTTTGAAAAGTAAGTAAAGCCTCAAGCTGATTCATTTGCAAAGATGCCTTGCAAGGGTATTGTGGCTTTCCTTGATGCTTTCTGCGCAATGTCTTAAGCGTGTATATTGAACTTAGGCTTTTTACTTGTTCGTGCTTGATGCTTTGATTTGAGAGATTATTGAAGTGTCAGCTACCCCTTGGACTCCGCTCCTAGAGAGTTAGTCGTTTTGAAGTCAAGTAGATGTCTAAATGCTCGCACAGACGGCGGGAATAGTCTACAGATAACTCTCATCTCAAGTGCCGAAAGTGCTGAGTTCCATTCTGATCGATTGGAATCATTCTCCTACTCGAGAATTCCCTTGAAATTATGATTCGTCACATTCAAGATCCTGACTGACTTTAACTCCCTGTTCAACTGGTAGATTTCTACTGTCAGTTAGGTTACCATTAAAATGTGATTTTCTGGCGTTGAGAAAGAAGCCGGTTTTCGCATCTATGTTGCATAGGGAAGCTCTCAGGTGATAAAACGTACCTATCGTACTACTGACCCTGAAAATATCATCTGTGTGCTCCAAGTCAACAGGATATTTACCCAGATTACTTGAACTGCACCTCCTCCATTGCTGAAACCTTTGTCTTTGACAGGGTCAACACTAATTTGGAATGAAAAGTCGAAAAGAGTATTTCTTAATTAAAACGAAGACACGTCTCGCTAACTAACTCTGCATTTAATTGGGAAACCATCAAAAAAGCTCTATTTAGAAATTTGTTAAAGACAGTGCATACATCTGTTCCAACGAAGGAGGTGCATAACATTTCAGTTTTCCACATCGCCAGACGATCGAATGAATATAATGTAGTCGTCAGTCGTGAGTCTAAAACAGACAAACTAGGGAAAGTGAAATTGTTGGTATTGTTCAGTGATTATTCCGAGTGGAAATTCCGACGGTACAAGACTACTACATGAGGAAGTCTAGTTAATTTCGTTGAAGATTCCCACAAATTGCCTATCTATGCTTATAAAAGATGGTCCAGGAAAAGATTTCTCGAAAGTTGTCAACAGAGTGATACCATGAAAATTAAAAATGTTTAACTGTCACCAAACCATCATTAAATATAGGGATAATTACTCCGCATTTTTTCCGGGAGACGTTAGTAAGTCTATATTTGATGAAGTTAACCATAGAGCTTTTTTCAGTTCTGCAATATCAAAAATATGAGATTAGAATTATTAA